CATTCCTGATAGTACGTCAGAAACACTAGAGCGGAAGAGGCGCTTGGCGGAGTAGTGTACGATCAACAAGCTTTGAACCACTTTCAGGCCTCTGAAAACGACGAGTCCGCCGAAACGCCGGCCAGAATAAATCTTTCCACCCACAAACCTCGAGGCAGAAGCAAAAACTAACGATTATCCAATGGGACGAACCCGAACTGTCAACCGCAGCAACAGAATGTCATCTGTATGCCATTGCAAGCTCACCTTGAGAGCTTCCGCTGTCAACAGGAGCATCTGCACAAAACAATGCACATGGTCCTACAGCGGCAACATGGACTGAAACCCCGATGCACTTAGATCGAATTTTCAATATGAACCCTCACACTTCTGGCAGAGCGAAGGCAAAGAGAAGAAGAAGACCAAATATCATCTTGACTAGTAGGGGATCTATAGAGTAAATCAAATAAATGTGAATGATTGACCCGATGCTCTATACAAATACAACAACAGTGCACACAAAAAACATCCTGGGCGAGCAAAAAAAGCTGAAGCAAAAAAACTGGTACTATTCTACTATTACACCCCCAAAAACTTAAAATTTTAATTTTCAGTGAAACTTCGCCTATAGGGGTAATCCGATGCCCTGATAACGAATATGACCTTCATTTTTGGCGCTGGCGCCATTTGGCGCCAAGAGAGTTTTTACCAAATTTGTTGAAAACTTGCGTTACTATTCCGCATTATTTTTATTATTTGAGGTTCTGATAACGAATATAACATCCATTTTACGCGCTGAGGCTATTTGGCGCGACGACAAGGCATACAGGTGGTGGGGAAGACGATGTGACCCGAGGCGCTTTCCCATGTTTGAAGACAGCCAGGTCGTGGGAAAGGGGATGACGTAAGCACTTTCCCATGGCTAAAGACAAACCCCTGGTAAGATGAACATCACTATTTCATTTCACAACTTGTGAACGTGTGTTGCGATGGCTCTCAACGCTCTGAGAAGGCGCAATCGCGAGCAAGAACTCCTTGATTTCTCGTTGAAGGACGTGTACGAGGAGATGCAAATGGATCATCTAGATCTACAGGAGTGGCCCTGATCCATGGGGCTGCTGGCGTTGCCATTGTGCCCTCTTTGTCAAGGATCTATAAGTCCCAGAAACGATGAGCACCACAACGGATGGGTGTGCCACCGTCGATCATGCCGAACTGGGCCATCGAACGAAACAAAGGTGTATGTTCCAGCTCAAAAAGGCTCCTTCTTCGAGAAGTCGAACCTCGCAGAGTCGGCCGTGATTGCGCTCAGCTACTGCTGGCTGCGCGACATGGATACCGTGAAGGACAAGGTTTACGAACTCAACATCGGTCACTGTAGTGTTGACCAGTGGGAGCAGCACTTTCGCGACGTCTGAGCCGAGCACTACAGAAGGAATCCTCCAGTTATTGGTGGGTCCGGATGTACAGTGGAGATTGACGAAACGCTGGTGGCGAGAAGGAAGTACAATCGTGGTCGATGGGTACGCAGACACCAGTGGCTTTTTGGCGGTATCGAGAGAGGGAGCGGACGAGCATTTCTGAGGTTCGTGCGAAGGAGTGACGTTCCGACTCTGCTTCGTCTTATCGGAAAGTATATAAGACCTAGCACGACGATCATTAGTGACTGCTGGAGGGCATACAGTCAGATCGCCGCACTGCCCAATGCTTACCGGCACCTCCAGGTCAATCACCAGTTGAATATTGTAGACCCACAAACTGATTCCCATACTCAAAACGTAGAGTCGCTGTGGCAGAAATACAAAGCGATGTGCAAGCGGCGCTTTGAAATTAATAACTCACGCTGCGAGGACTACTTGCGCGAGTTCCTATGGAAGAAGGAGTTCGGAGGTCG